CAGTCATTGAAGGCAACACTGGCAGAACATCTTTTGCAGACAACAGAAGCGACACTCAAGCTAACTCTGCTTAGTATTGTGCAGAAGAAGGATGTAGTAATCCACTTCTGAATTTTCTTACCTTGAAGGCTCTATGATGAAACAATGTAAAATGAAACAAGAGATAGTGCCAGAAGATGAGGCACCCCCACCCCCAGGTTGGAAGTCAATTCGTGAGCTACTGGGGAAAGACAAACGACAAATAACAGCAGTGCTGTTGCTAATGATGCAACTAGATTAAACTCAAAAGGAAATTTTGTGGCCAGCATGCACAGGGGAGAAAAGAAACTCCGATGCTGCACAACACTTAAAATTGGGACATGGAGTGTGAGAATCAAGGCAAATTGGAAATAGTAAAGCAAGAAATGGAAAGAATGTACATCACAGTACTTGGTGTAAGCAAACTAAAATAGACTGAAATGGGACATTTCCAATCAGACAAACACAAAAGCATTTTACACTAGAAATGACAAACTCAGAAGAAAAGGAGTGTCCGCATGGCTGAGGCAAGGCATAGCACAGTCAGTAAGTGGCTACAAGGCAAAATTCAGCTGAATATATCAATAAGAATTAGTGGAAAACTTACCAAGTCCATACTCAGACAACCAGTGCTGAAAACTTCTATGCAGGTATGCAAGAGGAATTGATAACACACCAAAACAAGACACGCTGCTAGTCTTAGGTGACTGGAATGCAAAAGTAGGAAACAAAGCAGCATCAAATGTAGAAAAAAATCGACCTAGAGTAAGAAGTGAAGCAGGAGAATGACTTGTAGGATTTTGTGAAGCCAGTAACTTGTTCATTGTAAACACATACTTCAAACAACCACTCAGATGATTGCATACATGAACTTCACCAGGTGGTCAATAAAGAAATCAATCAGAGTATGTAATTGGAAATAGAAGGTGGAGGAGTTGTATTCTTGCTGCCAAAGCAAGACTAGAAGTAGACTGCAATAGTGATCATCAGCTTTTAATTTCAAAAATCAGAGACAAGCTAAAAAGGATCACCAACAGAAGAATGGTTCAAAATATAATTTAAGTAACACCCCTTAAAAATAAAAAGTCCACATAAAGAACAGCTTTGCATTGCTCAACTTAATCAACTATGAGCCTGAAGAACTGTGGACTGAAACTAGAAATATTATTACAGTAGAATGTCAAAAGACAATTCCTCTAGCAACAAGAAACAGAAAACTTAGATTGATGAAATAAATGCAGTTGCAATGGATATCCCAGAAGTAAAAATAAAATATGACAGAAATAGGGTCAGAATACTGAAAGCAACTTTTCAGTGATTAGCAACAAAAGAGGAAAAGCAAGAGACCTCTTCTAGAAGATCCAAGAAATCAAAGGGAAACCCAAACATGGATTAGGAGTGCTAAAAGACAAACAAAGGAACACATTATTGGATGCTCAAAGTGTTACAACGAAGAATACTTCCCTATATGAAGTAAGAAATACCATATGTCCATGTTGGATTCCAAAAAGGAAGAAGTGGTAGAGATCATATTGCAAATCTATGTTGGCTACTGGAGTTCACCAAAGATTTGAGAGAAAGATCAGTCTGTGCTTAATGGACTACAGCAAAGCCTTTGACTGTGCAGACCACAAGAAGATATGGATGGTCCTGAAGAAATATGTGTGCATCAGCACTTGATGGTCCTGATGTATCACCACCTGTATCATGGACCAGAAGCTACAGTTAGGACAGAATACAGAGAAACAGAATGGTTTCCCATAGGCAAAGGATCAGACAAGGACATATTTTATCTCTTTATATGTTCAGTCCGCAGGGAGAACAGATAACGAAGAAAGCTGTATTAGAATCAGAGGAGGGAGTGAACACGTATATGCAGGTGATACCATACTACTGGCAGAAAGCAGCAGTAACTTGAAATGACTCCTGATGAAAGTAAAAGAAGAAAGAACAAAAGCAAGACTGCAGCTGAATATTAAGAAAACAAAAATCATATCCACTTCATTGTTAATAATGAAGAAATCAAAATGGTGAAAGATTTCACAGATCTCAACACGGTGATCAGTTCAAAGGCAGGCTACAGTCAAGAACTAGGAAGAAGACTGAGAAGACTTGGAAGGGTAGAATTTTGCCACCAGTATGCTTTACCATGGGAAGGTATTCTCAGGACATTGTTGGCTTTAGACCACACAGGATGTTTTGCTGTAAGACCAAAAAATTGATTTTAGAAACATAGAGACAGAGTGAGTCAGAAGGGGCCTCCCGGGCCATCTAGTCTGACCTCCGGCTCCAGCCGGCTCTGCTTATGACCCGCCTACCATGTGCATGTCCAGCCTATCCCTGAACATCCTCACCTCCCATGGAAGCCCATTCCATACCCTTGGGGTCCTAACTGTTAGGAAGTACTTCCTGGCATCCAAATTGAGCCTTGGTCTCATTGGACTGGATAACCTTTTCCCACATTTTTGCTGTGTCTCCCTCATGCATTTCTGCAAATTCCAAAGGGGCTTGGATACGGGTTTCAACAATGGCTTTCTTCTCACCACTCTTGAGCAGTAATGCCACTTCAGAGGTAGTAAGCATGCCAGTATTGGTCAGCAAAATGTTATCTCGCCAGATACCTGGTCACAAAAAAGGGCAATAGAGTAATAAATAAACAAGGTCTTCAAATATTCCCAGGTGCATATACATTTTTGCTGTTCTTTAGGGATTTTCAAATATCTGTCATCTAAGACAGGTGATTGTGTGGTTTGATAGTTTAGCTTTGCAAACGCTTTGCTGAAGCTTAAGTGTCAACTTGTGAAAATACACTTACACTGGTGGTCAGCTTTGAAGGACTAATACCTAACTAAAACCTAGGCAAGTTTATAATCACTGTATTCTGAAAAACATATATTTGAGAGTCAATGTTTTGATATCTTCTGCAGTCTGCTCTAATGCAGAATTCCTGATTTGAGCATTCTAGCGTCCAATATAAGGAAAGCCAACCTTTGCAGTCCACATTGTGTCTGGCGTACACAGAGCAGGCACAAACGGGCATTTAAAAACAAATGATTTTAACCAAGGTGATACTTCAGTGAAAGTTCTCATAACATGACAAAGCATAGCAACTGAGGCTGTTTGTTTAAGCTTCAGGCCACATTTTTCCTTATCTTTGTTTGCCTTCTCTTCTGCCGCTCAGTGGCTTCTTAGCCCATTTGCCATGGTGGGAACTGCTCATTCAGTGCTTTTAGGCAGTCTTAATTATGGAACTGGCAGTCTTGATGTTAGCAAGTGAAGGCATGCACAAACACTAGCCCAAATCTTGGTTCCTGTTAATGCAGTGGTGGACAACCTTTTGTGGTCACTTAAAGAAAAATCAGTTGATAGTTCAGACCTTTGGCATTGATCTCTTCCTTCCCTGGCAGCCCACACTGACTGAGAAGGAGGTACAGACAGAAGGATGGAGGAGAACAGGCTGCTAGGAAGAAAAATATTAACAAAAAGGGGTGGCAGAAAGAAATAGGAGGAGTGGCCATACCCACTTCTGGCTCTGATCCTTCCCAATATTGGCTTCAGCCACTTCACCACTGGCATACAGCCCCTGACGAATTACCCCATGGGAAAGAGGCCCTTGACATTAACAAGGTTGTTGAGTGGATCTGCTCCAAAGACTCAAAATCTCAAGCACAAGATAAATAAGCAAGATTTTCCCGCTTTACCACCTTGAATACCAATACATGTACTGCAACATAAGATTTTGTGTACTGCTGCCAACTTCATAAAAAGCCTGCAGTTTAAAAATTAAATATACACATGTACTTAAATTTACCTAATGTGTCAATTTAGGATAGTACTTCATGTATTTGATGAAGTGGGTTCTAGTCCCTTGGAAGCTCCGGTCACTGCAGATTCAGAGTTTATTTTTGCTACTACAGATAAACACAAATTGAAGCAAAGAGACCTGCATTATAAGGATGTATATGGATATATTTCCAGTGTTAATTTTATGAACAGCACCAGGCATGTTTTGATATTGATGTGTAATTGTGTTGATTGGTGTTAGGGATATTCACTTATTGGCACCCACAGAATTGGAATTTATTCCTTGGGGAAGTGTTTTGTGCATGAGGATGCCATATTTTTGTGGACAGCTCTGTGCCTTTTAAAACCATGTAACAGGCAAGCTTGTAGTGCCACAGCATTTTTATGTTGAGAAAATCTTGTTGAATTTGCCATATACCTGTTAGAGGCACAGAGCACCTATTTGTAAGGTGGCAACCCTACTTCTGCAAATGTGTTGACTTTACTTTGTTCAGCAGTAGGCTACAACTAAGAAAAAAATCTTCCCCTGTGAGTTGCCAATTTTGGGTTAGTAACTTCCATTAGCTGTATTTCTATAGAGGAGGGCAGTTGGACAGGCAGGCACACACAGGCTAAACAATTGTGAAGAAAACTTCAGCAACTCCATTGCCAAGTGTTCAGCTGTTTTAATAGCACAGGATCTGGGACAGTTTTTAAAAAGTTTCTGACCGTATCGGCAAGCAAAATGATGAGCTTTGCAAGAGCTGAACTGCAGACATTCTTGAAGGAGCATAAATCCTCTGCAAGTTTTGCTCTTGGCACAAGACAATCTTTATGAATGTGTTATATAAAAGATGCAGCTGAAGGCGGTGTTGTATATGCAACACATCAGAGATGTCTGCATAAACAAACGCAAAAGACTGTTTGCTGTTAAAATGTGGTGCTCTCTGGCATGGCAGCAATGTTGCTCTTTGCCTTTCAGGACTTTCAAGTCTTAAGTCATATGCATATAGCTTAAAAAGCCCAATTCATCTTCTAACAGGAAGGCAATTGTATCATAAGCCCTCTCTGAAGGAAAGAATTTAGCATTCATGTTCCATATGAAATGGTCATGTGGCTACTATTAGACACTATTAGTTTAAAACATGGTTTCTCATTCGTACATATTAAAATAACAAAAAACAGGCCTTGAAACTTTCTTCATCTTCCATGTTTTATTATGACTTCATTTATGGTTGGATGTGGTTATGCAAAGGGAACATGGAGCAAGAAATATGACTGAAGAAAGAACAGAGATGCAGCCAAGATTTCTGCACAGGAGCACAAAACAGCAACTGCTCATCAGGATAGCCTTCTGTTGGTGTGCTCAAGTTTTATTATTTTTTTCAAAGAAATTAAAACAGAAATGTCGTAGGCCCAAGCTAAAGACAATGGGAATTTCCACCCCAAAGGCCAGTAATCTTGAAACATTTGAAGTGTTGCTTTTGGTGGGGGGGAGGGACTTGGCTGCACTTAGCAGATCTATGCAGGAAGTACGCCTCTGGATCCATGAGTCTCATCTTGTGGGAGCCCGAAGTTCAAGACTACAGCTGAAGATGAAAATCCTTCTCTGCTGTGCATTAATATGTGGACTTCCCAAATGCTATTAGTCAGTTTATTGACAGTAAAGAAAACATACAAGACACCACCAGCAAACCCCCATACCCCTGCTGCTATGGAAGACTCAGTCTAGCTTTGGACAAGGTCTCATAACAGTCAATAGTCAGGATTAAACGAATGGGCTGCCCCTTGTCCACTGCCATTCAAGGCACGAAAATTTTAATTGTTGTTATGATGTTTGAATTTTGATGGACATTGACATCACAGTTATTTATAATACGTCATGTTTTATATTTTTATCCTTGTACACCATTCTGAGAGCTTTTTCACTGAATTAATGGTATATAAAATATTAAATAAAATAAATAATATAGTCACTATACTACTTTAATTATATTCTGATCCCAAATATTACTGGATTTCACTTACTGGTTTCACTTAACTGGGCCTCAAAGTAAACATGGGTAGGCTTCTAGTTTTCACTAGGCATCTAAACTCGCCCTGTAAGTGGAAGGGGGAAAATTCCTTCACAATGTGATTCTTCCCTTTCAAAGCCAGGAATTCTTACAGACCCCATTAAACAGGCATCTGCTTCTATTCTAGTCACACTGTGCTGACCGTATGTAAACAAGAAACATGACATAAAGAATGAGCTTGGCTTCTACATTTGCTCCTTTATGCTGGATCTTCCATCATTTAAAAATCAATAACCATCTCCAATACTCATCACTTGGCTCTTCTATGCCTCATTATGGCTGTAATTTGCCACAGCAAACTATACTGTTTCCCCCTGCACCATAATAAACAGAACCTTTCTGTTGCTGAGGAAAAAATGGTTTCTTATCTCTTCTTCATGCATAAAGACAGGAATACATAGTTAAATCAGGTAGGGAAGCCAAAGTCTCTACCCTGCCCTTCTGTAGGGGCACTGATTCTTCTAACCTCCTGCAGTAAATGCATAGTAGAGAAAATAGAGAATCATGCAGAGGTAAGGCTTCCCACACTGGTTATATTGAAAAAGATTTGATGCAGTTTTGGACTTAATTTTCATCTTCACAGTGCTACCCCATCATGTAGTCTTCTGCATATCAGCATGACTTTAAAAATACATCTATTATCAGGAAGATTATTCCAAATGCCATGCTAGCCACAAACAGCTGGCTGTACTATTACACTGCTGCTTCAAAATAATCCTTTATTTAATCAGTGAGTAGTAATGGAGGTTAGAACAAGTGACGGGAGTAAGATCCCTTGATTTAACAGGTAGCTGCCACAGCAGCCGATTAGGCATTTTATGGTGGTGCCCACAGCAGTTCTTCACATTCTCAAATGTGCTTACAGGTTTGAAAAACACTGAGGACCCCTGAGATAGACTTATTACTAACTAATTATTCATCCCCCTTCTTTCAAGATGTAGAAGCAACCCCTAAGCATCTCAGGTTCCCTCTTCACACGTGGGAACAATACCCAAGCCATGTTAACAGTGTGATCTTGTATTTGTTTACTAAGCAGGAAGTTCAACTATGTGCAATGGTACTAACCCCCTAATAAATGAGGTTAGTATTATTTGGTATTTACGATACCAAATCCACATTGTGGTTGAACACCACAAAGATGCTGAAGATCTTGGCAGAGCCTTTTCCAATTTAGCCATATAGAGGCAAGGAGATACTCCCTATTCTGTTGGGGGATATTAGAAACAGCCTGAAGGAAACACAGCCTGAAGGAAAAGGTGAGAGAGTTGCTCAAGGCAGCATGAACAATACTGCAAAAATAACTAAGCTGGAGGATAGGGAGGAGGGGAAAAACTGCTTTCCAAGACAGATAGGGATCTTTAATTTAAAGCAGAGTAAGCTTATTCATGGGAAAAGTGCGACGAAACACCCCTGGGACAGAGTGCTGCACTCTGGCAATTAAAATTGCATTAAAAACCAGATAGGGAAGTCGGGATCCTAAAACAGATGGGCACAGAAGACTGTGTTGTCCTTATTTGTTTCAATATATTTACCTTTTGGGCAATAGAGATAGTCGCTGATTAATTTTCCTTCTGGGTGCTTTATCTACAACTTCATTGTTCCCGTTTGTAAAGTCATTCTCTTCAGTCTGCTCCTAAAGGAGGGAGGCCGCAAAGACTGCATTATGCAGGCAACTAAATGGCCTGCTGCTGATGGAACAGGACAGTTTTAGTATTCAGAGACAAGGGGAAAAAGGACATCCTGAATAGAAAAATCACTACACAGTCCCTAATTATTTTACTTCAAGAAGGGAGGGTGATTTAACTAAAAGAATCCATCCCACTCACAATATTAACCTTCTGTTATCAGTCAAAGGGTAATAAACATATTGCAAGGAATATAAACAGGTCTCTGGACAACACAGCAGGGCTCCAGAAGAGAAGTATTCAGGGAAGGCAGTGGCTTCAGAGAGGGAAGTATGTTGAGGCTGTGAAGTTCACACAAATTGTTTCATCTATCCATTTTCAGAATGAATTATCAGCTTTGTTTCAATTCTGTATTTCTTCTGCTATTTGCTGGTGTTCCATATGGTTCAAAAATAGACCTCCAGAAAAGGTTTATTACCAACATAGCCCATGCTAAAGGAAGAAACAGAGTACAGGTTTCAGCTGTTAATACCAGACTTGGGCTTTTTGCTTCCACTATGTTCCTCATGATAGGAGTCTATGGAGAAAGCATCCAGTTCTCTCTCTGTCCTGGTTTCAGTTGGAAAGCTCTGCCCTTCAGCCAGCACCTGTCTAACAGTCATGTTAATACGGGATGCTTGCAAATATTTGGCACACACTTGCCAGTCCTCTTGGGAGCAAGGTTCAATAACAGAGTTTGCAGGAAGATCAGCAGGAAGCGGAAGCTCCAGGCAAGAAGGCAAAGGCTTCCCCTCAAGGTTGGGCAGAACTCTGGGGACTGCATGGTACCGTAGGCGGCTGAAGCCAGACATGATCATTATGTCCCCACTATGCATGAACATGGCCACAGGGGCTTCGTCTCGTTTCAGTCCCCCCAACAAAAAAACGGATGACTGTCCAAAGCTAAAAAAAGAGGAAAAGAGAGACGGTAGTTAATAAAATTATAACTATTTATAAATGTAAGAAATATTCAGCAGTTGTAATCTTTAGGCTAGATGCAAGTGCAGTTACTGCAATTCAGCACACATGAAACAGCAGGGTTGCGCCAATCAGTTTTTGTTTTTAATAACATCAACATTCATGTCATCATTTTACCAATCAAAACACTCCTCATTCTTGTCTAATTCAACCCACAGAATCATGGAATCATAGAATAGTAGAATTGGAAGGGGCCAAGGTGGCCATTGGGTCCAACCCCCTGATGTTGCAGGTCACCAATTTACACCATCCCATAAAACAAACAACTAAAATCAGTTTGACAATACATCTTGTTTGATGTACACAGAGCTTTCAATATGCCCTTCTCTGACCTTCCTAGAAGCTCATACCCAGAGATATGACCCTAATCCACTGGTTCTTTCCCTTCCACTCAGTTTCTGTTATGTCTGCTGGGCACAATTTAGCCTTTAAAACTAGCCACTCAATCCCCATCTTGGCTAAGAGTATTCACACAGAAACACATGTGTTCTCCAGATGTCTTTGGCATGTGCATTTTCCAGTATGAACCCTTGTTTTCTTGGCGAGACAGTCACATTTTATGATATACTCAGAGCAAAGTCCAAGTCTCACGTTATAGCTAAGAAATTTCTAATCTAGAGGCATTCGTTCTCTGATGTTTATATTTTCTGCTATGACCCTTAGGGCTCTTTGACAGGATACCATATTTTATCATATGCCCATGGCCAATTTCCATCCTATCTTCATCTCGGCAATCAGAAACACCACCTGCAGTATAGTGTAGCCGGTGAAGTACACTAGCAATCAGCCTAACCTAACTCACAGTAGTCGAGAGGAAAATATGTCATTAAACTCTCTGGAAATAAGGAAGGATATAAATAAAATAAAAGTGGTTCTCTCAGAGTTCAGCAACCCAGCCTTTCCTGCTACTCTGGGCCCCTAGTTTGTTGCTGCCTATAATCTTGATATGCAGCATTGCGAATAATTCATATCACCCCTGCCCCAGAAGTGAAAGTTTGTATTTGTCACAAGAATTCTGGTCATCTGTAACTTTAATCAAGATGCACTACCTATTTCACCTTCTGCCAAAAAGCTTTGCACAACTTACCTGAATGATAAAAGGGGCTGGGAATGGTCCAGCTCAGACTCATCCACATGAATTCCTAAAGATGAATCAAAGTGATAGTAGTTCAGGATCCCTGCTTCTGCCTGGAAGGCCTGAAATCCGCATGCTTTAGCTACTTGCTCCGAAAGGAAAGCCAGGTCAGATGGAAAGGGGGTGTAGTGATCAGCTGAATATTTCTAGTGAAGAGAAATACCAAAAGAACTTGGAAACAGAATTCTAGATTAATAAAGCCAGTCTATAAATACATCCCTAAAGTGAATTTTAGGCACAACCTGCCTGAAAGCCCTGGAGATCAGGATCTAATCTCCAAAGCTAGGGAAAAAAGAGAGAATAAATGTATCTGATTACAATTTCAAGTGTAACATTTGTATGAAAGAGACAAGCACAAGAGCCTGAATCAGCTTTTTTTGTGGTATTGCTGGAAAGGGCCTTAAGCGCTAGTCGCTGAAATAGTGGTTTTGCAGTATGACTCAATAACAGAACTGAGACATTTAGTATTTCACATAGGATAATGAACTGTTTTCCCACAGGGCTTATATAACCACAGAAAGGTTCCTTATAATGTTACCAGCATCTGGAATATTTTCCATAAATGCCTAAGCACCAGCTTTCCTGAGCTAGAATCCTAAAGCTGTTTCACTGGATGTTCTGATGAGAAAACTGGGAATAGATGGCTCTATTAAGGCCAGACAATAAACAGATAAGGTGTCAGGCTCATTTGGTTAAGCATATCTGCAGCATGCTGATAGAAAATGCCTCCTCATGCTACTTCAGGTCTGCAATTTGATTAAAATATTTTGGCTCAGAAACCTTAAGAATCCACAGAGTGTGTATTGCAGGAAATCTGCACTGTGGCTTTGTGCCTGAATTTCCTCACTGTGGCAAAAATAAGATTATAAAATATTTGCTATCATATTGTCTTACTGTTACATGCTGCCAAAAGATTTGGTTGTCCTCAAATACCTTTGTATTCCAATTATAATGGTAACCCAAAGTCACCCAACGCAGCTTCTCCAGTAAACATTTTGGTTCCCGTTTGCTTGAACTTTTGTTTCTAGAAAGATATAAAATTTTAAAAAGTTGTATTCATAAAATACTCTCTGCAAGCATTATCTAAATGGGTCTCATAATTTTTGGTAGAAGTGCCAGTAAAATCTTATCTGTATCACATTTTCACCAAAAGATTCAAATATGTAAACAGAGAAAAAAATGTGGTGAGTTGAAAGGATTAATTTAAGAGAAACATTGACATTTATTGAAGGTGTTTCACAGAGAATATTTTAAAAAAGTGGAAAGGATTTATTTAAAGTGGGAAGAAAAACTGAATCAGGTTAAAATTTCCAAGACTGGGAAAAGATGTAATGTTGTATACAAGGCTCCAAACAGTAATTCATAATGTCCTGAAAACGTCTTAGGAAATGCAGAGCTGCTCTTAATGGAGAAATTTAAACTCCACCTTGGAATGCCTATGACATCATTTTATTGCCAGTAACTGAAACCTATGCTATTGTTTCCTGAAAGAAAAGCAGAATAGTTATTGGAATTCATGGCAGGATACAAGAAGTTTTTTCCCCTTCCAATCCTGTTACATTATTATTGTTAATGTTAACAATAATATAACTTATAAAGTATCTAAAAATTTTGTACAGTCCAGAGATTAAAAGATGGCTCTGCCTGTAGGTTTCACAATCTTCATGATACAGAAGTAAAAAGGAATGGGGAGGAAAACTAGCAAATCAGGCACATAATCTCAGTCATTTGATCCTTCTTGCCTTGAAGTACAAAATACATAAGTGGCATTCCACACACACGCGCACACACACATGCACACTAATAAGAAGCATCGCAATGGTAATTGTAAGTAAAAATTCTGGCAATAAAATGATACCAGTGCAATCATAGTGAACATGTAATGAGCTTCAAATGGCCTTCCCTGTGCTGCAGCTATGTTACATTCACCACTGTGGATAGAACATGGCAAGATATACACACAGAAAAACTGTAATACTCCCAATAATGTACGATATCAACTGCAATTCAATTTGTTCCTTACCACTGAAGAGCAATGACTCAGTAGCACAAGGAGCCACCTGTTTGCAAATAGCTAAATTCTGTCCAGAACTCTTCACCTGTTAAGTTTTGCTAGTGCCTAGTGTAAACATGTCTGTCTGTGCTGTGATTGACCAGTACCTGGCATAGTTTTACGAAACTCCCCCCTTACAGGTCTTAATTTAATTTCAAAACAATTGCTGTAGAATGTAGTGTTCCACACTGTTGAGTACAAAAGGAGCAGAAAAAGCTGCGAGTCAGGAGTGAATGGCACTGGCAGAGCTGAATGAGGAGGAGGAGGAAAAGCAGGGCATTTGCAGGTCTGGCTGAAGTACACTGGCACATCTTTACTCTTAACAGAGACAACAAAAAGTGTTGGGAAGCACAACTGAAAAGTACCTGCAGAAATTGTCTTAATTTAATGTGTATTTTATTCAATGTTGTGAGCCGCCCCGAGGCTTCGGCAAGGGGCGGCATAGAAATGTTTTAATAAAATAAAATAAAATAAAATAATAAATAAATAAATAAATAAATTTTGAGAACTGCGGGAGCTCCAAATTAGTAAAGAAATGGCTGTAGAGATCCATGTGTAGAAAGGCACAAGGAACATTTCAGCTCTACCCCATCATGTCTCTGATGAGTTCTAAGGGTTTTTTAAAAATCCTAAGGCAATCAATTAGCTGATATTTAAAAGCTCTGATGAAAACACAACAGACTCATTTGACAGGTCACCTGGAAGACTGTGAAGTTGCAGAAGGATCCCCCTCCTTGAACTCACATTGAACTCTGTACTTTTCTTATTGGAAGGGCATAATTTTTCAGCAAGCTAGCTCTGAAACAATTCCCATGCTAGAGTAATGCTTGTCAGTAGTGTGTGCTGCAGCTCACAGACCAAGAAGAACAGATAGGCTTTCTTATTAGGAAAATGAGGACTGGTTATAGTGGCCATATAGCAAAAATACAAACTGTCTACAAACTGCTGTGGTTCAGGGCACGTATATGTGCAATAATCCAATTGGGATTTTCATTCTTAATGATTCCCCTAAAAGGGTAGATTCATCAGTTCTGCCCAGCCCTAATCATACATCAGCTTCAAGTCCAGTATTATCCTTCTGTAACTCTGAAATCACTAGCTGGCTTGCTCACTTTTTCCTCTAAAAGAAGTGTTCCTGCAGTACTTTATTCCTACACACTTTTGGACAAGTGCTTACTGAAACTGCTAACATTTCTTCCAGCTATCACACTCTACAATTTTGCTCCCATCTTAATGGGAACCAGCTGCACATTAAATTCTGTCCTATCTGGTTGTTGCTGGCACAAGTATGCCAAGCTGGAAAAGCAGTCAGGACACTACTCTCACCTTGCTGCTCACTCACCTTCTCTGCTCAATTTTTACGGCAGATGGGATAAGAAGAATTGAAGAGTCCAGTCTGGGTCACCAAAAATACTTTTCAAATGATCCTACTGAGACAACTAGAGCTTAGCTACTTAGGACACTTAAGGACACTTACAGCAATTGTTGCAATGCTTTACACATCCCAGTGCTGTAGGAAAGTTTTACAGAGTTAGTACTTTAGCTTTTAAATTTCCATGCAGGGTCAAGCAGACTTAGCAGCCTTCACAGATAGCTAACCTAATATACAGATAATGAATGACAAGACAGGTTTTAATTATACTACTTTGTGTCATTTAATCCTTTGGACCCTCTGCTTGACTGGATACCCAACTATAATGCTAAAGCTCAGATCAAACATTCTGTTAATCACAGAATCATAGAACAGTAGAGTTGGAAGGGGCCATGAAGGCCATGGGGTTCAACCCCCTGCTGTTGCAGGACACCAAGTTACACTATCCCACTTAGATGGCTGTCCAGTTTCTTTTTGAATCTCTTTAGTGTGGGAGAGTGCACCACCTCTCTAGGCAGCTGGTTCCACTGTTGTATTGTTCTGACAGTGAGGAAGCATTTCCTGATATCTAGCCTAAATCTGGGTTGTCACAGCTTAAATTGATTATTTCATGTCCTACACTCTGGTATCAGCAAGAAGAGATCTTGACCTTCTTCTTTGTGACAGCCTTTGAAGTACTTACAGAGGTATACGATGTCTTCACTCAGTCTTCTCTTCTCAAGGCTGAACCAGTTCTCTTAGCCTCTCCTCACAGGGCAGTGTTTTCAAACCCTGGATCATTTTTGTCGCCCTCCTCTGGGCCCTTTCTAATTTTTCTGCAGCTTTCTTAAATCTTGGTGCCCAATTCTAATGCATTGCACTAGAGCAAAACTATTTTCAGAACTGCTTGAACAGTGTAGCCCCAATATATCTAAAGACCACCAAGATCAAATCTTCCCAGAAACAATATGAGGGAGAAGCAATTTAGGTTGGAAAATGGGGAGATGGCATTTCACTTTTGTAGTTAGGCAGAGTCTTTTATCTGCTTGCATGGTTATCATGTCTACTCTCTTCTTCATGCCAATTCCTCCCATTAAAAACACACATATAAAGTCTCTGTTTCTGTTTATAAGAGCAGAAGAAAGGAGCCAATGCACATAGAGCAGGAGAGACAATTATTGCTTCAAAATAGAAAAGATCTCTACAAGTAATATAAAAAACTTAGAAGATAACATACTTGGAATAAGGGAATAAGAGGTAACTCTTTCTCTTGAGCTGCAAGCCGCTCTAAAATCTATAGAAAACAAGTAAACTAGAATGGGAATATGGGCTTTCTCCCTGCTAAAGTAGCAGGTAAATTTTAAAAATCTACAAGACTATAGATTTATAGTCTTTCCTACATCAGTCTAGTAAGTCACAGTGTCCAAATTTAGAGAGACAATGGATCCATGTCTGCTGTCAGAAGCAGAAGTATTTGGACCTGAATGATGTTTTACTGCATGAAAACAGAGCTGAATAGTTATTAACCAAGATACAATTGTCTGTTGAATTTACTGTGCATATTTCCATAACCAGTCATGGTTTCCTTCTAATACACTAACCAGGCTGTTGAAACACTGAACCTATTTTTGTTCAGCAATCAGACATTTTTGTCTGCAGACATATTTATTTACTATAGCACAAGTTCACAAAAATACAACATTAAAATATACCCTAAAACACTAAAAAATGAAATGAATATACAATGAAAATACACATAAGACACACTTGTTTTCCCCCTCCCCACCTTTGTGCTTTGCCAGAATAACAGATTATCTGGAAATGTCTAATATTTTATTTAATTCCTCTTGCTAGAGAGAGCTGAGATACTTTGATTTCAGGGGCAATTCTATGGCCCCTACATAATTTGAGAGGCCACAGAATATTTCAGGTTCCCAAATCCAAGGTCAGACAGTATTCTGACCTCAGACCTGGGAACTGGAGTTCTGACACACCTTCTCCTTATAGCCAATGAAGAAAGAATTATGCCATCTGTTTTCTGAAGTCAGGAAAACTACCGTGGAGAAAGGTGAAAGGGAACATTCTGCTGGGAGGGGAGTACACCAGGGAGGCCAGAAAATGAGCTATCTTGATGCCTTTCCAGCCTCTTCCCCTCCCAAATCCTCCAGCTAGATGGGGAAAAAGTCCATCTTGTAAAAATGCAGGGCAAGAGGATGGGGCAGCAAAGTCTGCTTCTGCTGCTTGTGCCAGTCTACAGAAGATTGCTATAAGTTTCCAAGTCTGGGAGCTTATATGTATACAGGACTACACCCTTAGTAAGATAAAATAAGCCCCGTCACACACATGCACCCTCAGAGATGGGCATACATGCATATAGTGCTGCTCGTTTATCACACCTCCTGTGTTGTGCTGTAGGGTGTTCCAAAGGACCCGCTGAACATCGGAGGCAATACAAAAGAAAGGAAGAGATGCTGAAATAGGAAGGAGTGCTAAAAATTCTGTGTATATGCAAAACTTGTAAGTGTGGCCTTTTGGATTCCAGGTTATGAGGGGTGATGAGTGAAGTAAGAGTAATTTTAGACACAAGATATATAGTAATCTGATCAATAAAATTTAACATATATGCAAATATTTTGATATTCATAATATTTCAACATTTATTAATAAATGCAAGTTTTGTGTTTTCTGGAGACTAGAGCACTCCGAGTTACTTGGAAGGCCAGTACAGCAGCAGGAACCCTTGACTCAATGTTTAGCTCTAAGCTTGGCAGGAAGTTTGCACTTGCTTTGCAAATGATCTTCAAGTGCCTCAGAAGCAAAGCATAAAGTCTTTGGAGAGGTGCAGGATGCTGGCAGCCACAAATTGCTGCTTGGTTTTGGATATGAGCCAGTATTTGTAAGCTTGTAATCCAAGGCCATCATCCCACAGAACTAAAGACAGCAAGAAACTGCCCACATTCAGGTGAGATGCTCCATCTTATCCACTGTTGCACACCTTGGCCTTAACAGTATTCAGAGCCAGGACTTACCGCATCTGGTGCTGACTCTTTTCCCACAGATCAGTAGTCTCCTTGGAAGGCATGTGCAAATCCAAATTGCACACATTGGGTTTCTGGGTGTACTGCTTCAGACATTGCTTCACCCAGTGACGCTGACAGCCCGGAAGGAAAGGATTGGGGATAAACATAAACCCTAGACAAACATGGAATTGAATGAAGAGAGAGGAAAGCATATGAAGGCTTCTACCCATAATTTAAGATTAAAGCAATATTGAGATATAGCAGGGACACAGAGCTACAAGCATACAACCTATGTCAGAAATAGTAAACAAAAACATTATCAGCTGTTCTCTCAACTAAATGTATATCTTGAGAAAAACAGACTCTCTATCAATGAATTTATTTTTTTCTGCTTGATATCCAAACACACTCACCTGGATAGTTATCCAGACTATAGGCTTTCCACTGGCTAACTGGATGCAGTCCTGCTCTGTGGGCATCTTGATCACTTAGTGAGGCAAATCGCAAAGGAGAACTGACCACCTGGGAAAGAAAAATTGAGCATCAGACACCAGAACACAGATTTTGACTGAATTCAACTGCTTGACAGAATTTGTGCTTACTAACTATTCCCCTTCCCAAAAGGGAAGTGTTGACCCTTGGGAGAAAGGGAGAATTTGGTAAGAATACCTTGTGGAAGTGCCATTCAACTCAAACAAAATTGTCTTTGTATCCAAGCTATTCAAAGAACAATAGGGGATCCTGCCAGAACATATTCACTACTAGTAAGCGAATTTGTGAACCACCTACTCCTTTATTTATCCATCCAAATAAATCAGTGCAGATAGTAAAATTAAAAGATAATTAAAATCTTTTAATTAAAATTAAAAGAACCAGTATATTCAGGGGATAGTGTAACATTTGGATATGGCTCAACTTAAATCCCTTTTCAGATGTGGATTCATTTTGTGAACAAAATAAAGTCTCAGGTTCCAGTTGATCAAAATTCAGCTGTGACTATGTCCCACTGTAAAAGGCAGAATTGATAAAAGTTGTATTGTGCCTGTTTGTTGGATTGTCTCTCAGTCTGTCAGAATAGGAATAATATCAAATTTAACTGATCACTTTTGAATACCTTGCTGTATCCTGTAAAGTGTATTCAGGAAATCAAAGTATATCATATATACCTAAGAGTTGTCAAATTTGCTAACTGTTGCACAGAGTCCTGATGTTGTCTTATGTCTACCAGCTTATAAAACATCCAAGTTAGTGGCAAGTGATGCACAGAGATTCTCAGCTTTTGTTTTGTGACATTTGTTTCCATCATAGAAGAATTGTCATGTATGTGCTAATAAAACAGTAATTGCTTCTTAGGGCCTGTGAGGGTTATTGTTGCACATTTTATTTCTTGATTCAGTAGGCTGTGAGATACCGAAACCTGAAATCACAACGTTCTAACAAATAGCTTGCTTTTCTTCCTGCAGTATAATCCCAACATTATGTATGGTAATGGCTATTAACACAGGAACTACTAGAGCTAGAAAGCCACAACATTTTATAGCCTGTGACAGACTAGAATCCCAATTTCAAAATGGGATAATACATTAATTTCTAACTCCAGTGGATATGTGATTTTAATTGAAATTACAAACGATGCTTGAGAAATAAGAGGGTAATCATAATTATGTAATCTTAAGGTCTGAAGAGCTTCTTTCTGTGACAGAAATTCTCCTTAGGAGGGCTGTAATTATACTGCACTCATTACAGTATTAACAGAGGACCAGTAAACCTAAGCACTGGTGTTAGTCAGAAATTGTTAATACCTAGTAGTCACTTTTAATATGTTATTCTTAATGAAATAAAAAGAGATCTTTTGTTACTGAAGACAGTGTTAATCCTCTGTCACCCTGAAAATGTCACCTGTATTGTTAATTTTCCCTCCAGTAGTTAATTTTCTACAAAAGACAGAAGATAATGGGATCAAGTGGGTAAAATGCAATAGGCAAGACTGAATTGTCTTTTCTGGAACATGTTTGATAATGCAAAGACTATATTTTCACCCATAGGGAAGAATGAACTCACACTGCAGAGCACTTTTAACTAAGAGATTTCAATACAACACTATCATATGGAAAGTGATAATGGTAATAATCAGAGACATTACATATAAATCAAACAATTGGACAGGATTCTCCTTTTAGGCTTTACATGACAATAAAAGGTACAATGATAAATTTATCTGGAAGTTCTTAAATACAAATCAGTATTGTATAATGAAGACAATGATCCATCTTTATATTTTCTGTCAGAACTGTGAGCAAAAAATATACAAACCCTAGGAATAAATATCATACAACTAATATCAATTAGTTGTATGATATTTTCATTAAGTATCCAAGTATCCTATAAAGTAAGCCTTTGCTATATATTTTTTCCAAGTACCATGGCACTTTATATATTTATTATGTTTCCCCATAACCCTTTTTGAGACTTTGACTCAGTTGCATAGACCTGTGTGAGCAAGAAGGCTTCTGTTCACCCAGACAGACAAGCTGCAATGAATGGAGATATTCATCCAGCAATAAGGAATTTGTATTTAATTCTAAATCTGAAATACATTTCTTTAACTTCAACAGGACCTGTTCTCAAGAATGGGTCTAGACTCTAGAGTTGCAATTCTAGAGTTCATTGTCAAGCTCACTTAAAATATACTGGTTGGCTCCCGGAGGTGTTTAACTATCCTTTTAGATTTGATGGCCAAAAGCAGATTATATATATCTTTATATATAATATAAATAATATATATTTATATAATATATAAGTATATTAGAGATATACCCATTATCCCTTTTTAAGGACTTAAGATCACCTGAATCTTTTCTTCTATAGAGGTAAATGTCACTGAGGGAAGTGATCTCCAGAGGAAAAAGAGAATAAAGGGAAAGGTTTAAGATCCCATTTCCTCACACTGAACTATTTCTGACTGCAGCAAGAAGCCCTCCCCACCACAGGATCATGGAATACTGGAGTTGGGAGGGGCCCATAAGGCCATTGAGCCCAACTCCCTGCTTAATGCAGGGCCATGTGCACAATGGATCATGCTTCCTGATGGTTAACTGAAAAAAATGGCACGTAGGAATGGCTTTATGTATGTACTGTCAGAGAAGCAGAATAATCCTGTTATGCATTATCAGCCTGCTTGTCAGAAATCTTTAAGTAAGTTTCAGCCATGTCATGAAAATAGCTTAATTCTCTCTCTGGAAGAGATGGATCAGCTCAACCAACAGCAGCTGTACTTAGCTGCCTGGAACCAACCAGAGTGATAATCTGGAGGAGGTTTCCATGAAATGAGTGAAATGGCTCAAGTACCAGATAAAGACCCAGACATGTGCAGGTGGAACCAGTAATTGCATCCCATGATGTGACACTATTTTGTAACAAGAGGCTACAGACTTCTTCCAGCTATAATTGGTTAATTGCTGCTCCTGAGAAGAAATGGCTCAAGAGATTTGGACTAGACCTGCCCAAAAGAAAGGATTAACATGCAGATGAAATTGGTGGTATTTTCTGAAGGTATCATTTTTAAAGCCAAACAAGGCCTCCAGTGTTGTTCACTGACAGTCAGTGTCTTCAAAAATGCTTTGGCTACTTTGTCATGAACCTTTGTAAACTACTGTAATATGTAACTTAATAAATAGTCTAGCAGTTCATGAGGATTTACTTTACTGTTCTCATTTGGTTCCTTCATAAAGAACAATCCCAAGAACCATCACTAACCAATGATTTCGAGCTATTCCAAGGAAAGGCCTCGGTTCAATGACATAAAATATATCTTGTACACACAGTATTCCAAGTTCAGCTACTGGCATCTCCTATTAAAACAGAATAGAAGCTTTTTCAGTGCAAGGGCTGAATTCCATGTCACAGAAACTATCAGGGGCTGCATTTGAGAGGTAGATGGGACCAAAAATAGCAGCACATTTTAGCTAACAGCTCCATGTTGCCAGTAATTAAGCCTTAGAAGAGGCATTTCAACCTTCTTTTAAAAAAGGTGAGCCCACACAAAAGCTAGAAACCCCCAAGGACTGGTTTGCTGGGGGAATGTAGGCAGGCCAGATGGGTGCTGAGAAACTGCAGAAGCCCAGATTGGGAACTCAGGGAGGCTGGATGTGGCCTTATCAATTATTCTATATAGCTGAACTGAGGAGGAAAAAACCCTGCTCAGAAACCTTGGAGGGCTGCTGCCAGAGTTAAACAGACTAATAGTTTAAGGCCACTTAATATGTTCTAGACTTCAGTTTCTGTCTTCAGGTGAAGCATCAGTTTTTGAATGCTTCCTTTATTTGCTTTTAAATGATGTGCTAGTTTATGCAGGGAAGCTTCTTCCCACCTTCCCTTTCAAACATAGATTACAGTTTTAAAAACTGCTATCCGTCCCACCCTTAGCCTGTAGTACAATTTCCACCACCACGAGTAAGTGCAACTAAGTTAATCCCCAGAAAGAAGTGCTCACACGAGCAGCGCATACACAATGTAACGTCTGAAATACCATAATAGGCTGCCTTCCTACACGCATCATTAGCTGCTAGGATGTATAAGGAAAACCTCGAGACAGGCGTTAAAGTGCTGCACGGGCAAGTGGCATCATTCAAAAAGTAGTGTGTGGACCCGCTGGGGCTGCGTGGAAACCTTTTAGGATCAACCGGCTGGGGCCTTCGATAAGAATCTCCTCCTCCCGCCCCGCCCAATCAAACATGAGTGGGATCACTCCCTAAGTCAGCCCCAACTTTCCATAGACAAGCCTTCCCTGCCCTTCTTCATTCTAGAGGCACATGCCGACGAATATGTGGCAATGCGGAGGATCCTTGGCGAGGGGCACGTGCAAGAATAGGCGACTATACCACCCCTTGGCAGCGGTTTCCATGGATACCGGTTGTAGGCAGCCTAGCGCGAAGAAGGCTGGGAAACAGGACCGCCCAGTTTACCTGCCGCGCCACTGGCTTCGAGAAGTCAATCACCCCGGTGGGGTCCGCGCCTTCCCAGCGCCGATAGAAGCGAAAGAGGCGGCGAAAAGCGTCCTCTTCGCGCGCGACGGACGCCGCCATCTTAGCGGCCAGAGTGACCTCGCTTGCACGCGCCACGCGGAAGGGGAAAACCGCGCCTTCCATTGGATCAGCGGGCGGGAACCGGCCCCACTCGTTTTCTCTAGTTTCAAGATGGCGGCTGCCGGAGTTGCTCGGCGAAGCTTCCAGGCCTTCATTGCCCGGATACCCTGGACCATGGGTGCACGTGAGTGAGCGAAGGAAGGGGACACGTTTAGTTCTTTCTGAAATAAAGCGATTGGCCAGGGTGAAACTAATAAGTGGACCGTGGTGCTGCTTACCTTGCCGCTTTTGTCCCTGCGTGGTTGCAACGGTTTTTATTTCTCCTGCTTCAAAGTCTAAACGGCCGGGGCAGATGTTGGGCAGTGTCCTGGGTGAGGAGGGAGTGTCTCTCTTTTGAGGTCGGTTTCCACCTTCGTTTTTGCGGAGAGGAGGTGTCGAAAGCATTGTGGCGCCTCCTTCCCTACGCAGCGGGCATATTGTCTTTATCCTTCCTTCATCTTCTTACAGATCTTGAGTGTTTTGTCGCAGATTTGATACGACTTAACCTATCTCTGTATCGAAATTATTTCGAACATTCAAAAGCACATAATCATCTGGGTTCTGGTCCCTGCTCAGCCATGGAGCCAACTAGGTCATCTTTGGTTAGGTCACAGACTCTCAGCCCAACCTACCTCACAGGGTAGTTGTTGTAGGGATAAGATTGAAAGCAAGAGGAGGAAATATATAATTACAGGAAAACAGACACTTTCTTATTTTTCAAAGCACAGTGTTGTTATGTGAAATGCGTAAGGAACATGTCACTTGTTCAGCATTATTACTATGCTCTTTCTAGGATGCATGGGATGGCATTTCTTCTCACAGCCCAAGATTACACAGCAAGTTTATAGGCGGTAGATTTGAGCCAGTTTTTTCCACATATTTCCTACATTTCATTATATTCCCTGCTGAGGTGAATAGCTATAGCCTATTAACATTTATAAAAGGTATTGTGATCAAACCGGTCATTACTAGAGGAGATCAACCCTAACTGATCTTTAGAAGGCCAGATACTGAAGATGAAACTCAAATACTTTGGCCACCTAATGAGAAGGAAGGACTCCCTGGAGAAGAGCCTAATGCTGGGAACAATAGATGGCAAAAAAGAAGGGGACGGCAGAGGATGAGGTGTCATTCCTGGATGGAGTCACTGAAGCAGTTGGTGTGAGCTTGGGTGGACTCCGGGGGATAGTGGAGGACAGGAAGGCCTGGAGGAATGTTGTCCATGGGGTCTCGATGGGTTGGATATGACTTGACTAACAACAACAACAAACCATTATTTTAAGGTAGTGTTACCTTATAACTACCTATTTCTGCCATTTAAGCCCTGGCCAGATATATGTCCAGTAATCTAAGCTGATGATGATCTAACTATTTTTATATGCTCCTGAGTTTTTAGGAAGCTTTGTTTGTTTTCATTGTGGATTTTATTGATATTAGCTACTTGAAGCATTTAAGACGAGTATAAATGTAACCATATACAAAATAGTTTTAAGCATAGTTGATGTATCATGAAACATCTATTGCTTGAGCTATCAGTGATTTAAGTCAGGGGTGGCAAACCTGTCACCCCAGGGTGTACTATGCTAACATGTAGCCCCGTATGGCCTACCAGTTTGTCTTGCAGGCTCTGCCTTCTCTTCCAGCCAATACAAAAATCTTTTTATCTTCAGTTAGATGCTCATCACACGGAATATGTTTTCCCATTTCTTATCATAACTGCTTTTAAAAAGTTTCCATTGGTGCCAGTGAAGCAAGGGGGCAGTATACAGGAGATGCTGCTGCTTGCAAGGGTTAGTTCTCTCTCTCAATGCTGTGGTTCTTCCTAAAAACGATTCCTCCATTAAAATCAGGTTTTCAACAGTCTAACTGCAGGGGTAGAGGGCATTTTCAGGAGGGGAGAGTATGTTGTGTTTTTTGTGCTTGTCCATGAATAAGGTCCAGGGCTATCAACCAGCAGTGGTATGGCCTTACCCACTACTAGAAACAGCATGCATAACATGCCTGCTTGGATCCAAGTTGTCTGAAACTGTCAGGGAAGTCTAGTTATAGGACCTGAGAAAGAAACCATTGGAGCACACAACTATTGCTAAAGTCAGAAGAAGAGAGTGCAAAGAACATACAACAATGCAATTATAAGCAATGCTCGAAAGGCCCTCTGAGGGTTATATATAGATAGTTTGTATCTGAGTAGTAAGTGATCCTATTTTTATTTCTCTTTTCTCCACAGCAGATAATTTAAAACTTTCAACAAAAATGCACTGTGAGATAGCCTTAGAGCTAGCATCAGAATGCAACATTCTTGGGCAGCTGCAGAAAGTTCACTGTTCCAGAAAGTCATAGAAACGTAGAAACAGAGCGAGTCAGAAGGGGTCTCCCAGGCCATCTAGTCTGACCCCCGGCTCCAGCCGGCTCTGCTCACGACATGCCTACCATGTGCATGTCTAGCCTATCTTTGAACACCCTCACCAATGGGGCCTCAACCACCTCCTGTGGAAGCCCATTCCATACCCTTGGGGTCCTAACTGTCAGGAAGTACTTCCTGGCATCCAAATTGAACATTGGTACCTTGAGCTTGGCTCCATTGTCAAGACCTATGATGACTGTCTGTCCTGTGTCCCTTGTATGGTGTCCCCCCTCCCCCCCGCCTGACCAGTTGAGCAGCCCAGACATCTAGGTCTGTTACCATTTAAGATTCCCACAGTTCCCTTAATCATCTGGAAAAATGTAGCAGATAGCTAGACTCTGCTTTTCAGAGCGCTGCTATCCACTTTTGCTCACAATAGGTGAGCGCATGAAGGACCACCAAAGTAGGTGTTCCATTAGAGTATTTAACAGTGATCCTCCTTAAACAATTAGAGCCAGATATTCTTCTGACTTTTCCTCTCCCACTCTTTTTTTTTTTTTCAGATGAAATAAAACAATATTTTTCTCAATTTGGGACTGTGAAAAATTGCATTCTGCCATTTGTAAGTATCCCTCCTGTTAAGTGACTACATTCAAAGTAAAATATTGTTCAAATGGTATTTGAGCTATGATATCAGATTGATCAAGGAACCTATTTTATACCAAAGGGGTTTTTTTTCCTTAATGTTAACCATTCCCATGATATTTATCAAGGCAGCAGTGTACCTGCTCTGTAAATCTAGTTTTTCTTAACTGAGAAATACCAAGTATTACCCATAGAAAATATTAACCCTTCATATATTGTTTCTATTAGCATATAATGATATTGCTATTGATCATTTTAGTTACAAAAATTGATTGTATAAAATGCACTAATTTTAAGGGGTAGACCCAGTGGTATGCGAGTAGACTTCCACTTGTGGAACTTTGCCCACCTCTTCCCCCTGCAGAATTGCTTGAGGGCCCCAAAAATCTACAGCAGATGGGGGGGGGGGACTGCATGGGAGAGGTGTCTTGCCCCCTGCTCATTCTGCTGATGGAAGATGTTCTATCTTAGTGAGAGGTGGTAATCGTACCCAAGATTGGGTACAAAAATGAAACTTGACATGTTAATATATATACTGAATAATCTTCCATTGATATATAGTTGGATTTTAAAAATGCATAAAATGAAAATTATCCATACAAGTGAAAAGTGAGTTGTCTTTACTAATGGGCAGTATTATGACATCTCAGAACAGAATTCAGATGACAGGCAATGTTGCATTAACATTGCTGTCACCTTCATGCATTTAGCAGGTCTCATTTCTTCATGCATTTTATGAACTCTTTGTATAGCCTTTCCATGAATGTTTCATTTACCATATCTGCATCCAAGAGCTGCTGCTTTACACTGTGGTTCACAGGTGGATTCAAATACCCCAATAATAATAATAAAAACCCAAGCAAAGTCCATTTGCTTTGAAGGTCATACATTTCTCCCTTTAAATTATACAAAACAATTGATTTTCCCTCATTGCTTGTGTATTTGAAAGTGGTTTATGTGCCTTCCTTATCTGTCAAAAGGCACAATCCAGCCTAACTTGAGCACTCCAGTTTAAATTTGTTGAAGTTAGTGTAAACTTGTGCTTAAGTCTTCCCATGAATTCAACAGAACTCAAGTACGTAAGTTTGGCTATTATTAGCAACCAAGTACAAAATGCAAGGTAAATAGTAACTCCTTTCTGTGTTTATAGTGCAGTCTTGTCTCCTCTGGATTTTTCTGAATGATACTGTTCTTAGGTGCAGATAGCCAGCTACTGCTTAAATGTAACACGAATCAGTCTATCAGTCAATTAATCTAAAAGTAGTTCGTGTATCAAGTGATGTCCTTCTATCTTGAACAGAATACAGAAACAGGATTTCATAAAGGTTTTTGCTGGGTTGGATTTTCTACAGAAGAAGGTCTCAAAAATGCTTTGCAGAAAGACTCGCATATCATAGAAGGAGCTAAGGTAAGAGGCTTAGTATTGTACATATTGAATTCCATGCCTTCTTAGCTTTAAAATGAAAATTCACTTTAAGATGCACATGAAATCTCAGATCTCATAGGCAGCCTGGTCAGCATGTTCTTGGCACATTTCAAACCTTCCACAAGTTGTCTGTAAATGTATATAGAGCGTTCAAAAATGAATCTTAATTTTTCATTAGGAACGAGCTTCATGATGTTACATGTATAGTTCAAATATTAGTGAATCTGTGTCTGAATGTTAGTTAACTGATTTCACCCATGAGATGTGCACTAATAAGCAGATCAGGTATTTCTTTTAATTAAAAGAAGCCTTGATTCAATAAACTTGCATAAATGCTTTGTAAAGGAAGTTGCAGTATTTGTAAGCTTATCAGCATTCTAATGGATATTGTTTATTTCTTCCATTGCCTTATCAGTAATAGTGTCTATTAAAATTTTCAGCTTCAAGTCGAACTTCAGAGAGGTAGACACAAGCCAAATGAACATTCAGAATGAAGAACTGCTGACATCAGTTAAAGGAAAAAGACTTTATTTCACTGTAAAGAAACTAAAATAAACATGGATATGTATTCATTGCAGGTCAATGCATTTTCTCTAAGCTTGAAATACAACCACAGCAGAGCAAGTGAATCACAATACCCTTTCCTCTTTCAAGTACAATACAACAGAGGCAGGGCAAACTATGTACAAGGGAAGTATTATCAAGGTGGAATAAGCAGCTTTAACTAAGAGAAAGATAAATTAAGCAGTGTATTCCAAAGTGAAAACAAGGTAACAGATCTCTAGCTATGTAGAAACAAGGCAAAACAGCATAGCTAGAACCACAGATACAGAGCCTATATAATCCAGTGGTCCTATTTTTTTTCCCTTCCCTTCTTATTCTGTGGGTTAAAGTGTCCTTATCAGAAGACTCATGGAGAATTATATCCACTACCGAGGAGCTGCCAGTTGTTTAAGACAACTCCCTGAAGGCTGGCTAAGAAATGTTTGAAGTACTGAATTCAGTTTCACTACTTAGTGAAATACAATTTACTCTTTCCTTCTCTTCTTGCCTTCATGTTCATGTTCTTTAGGACGGCTGCTATCAGAAGGCCGTTTTGAACCCCCATGCTGTTTGGCTTCCTCCAAGAATTTATCTAGACCAAAAGGATCCTCCTCAAACTGAACTGGTCCTTCTCGGCCTCTTTGTCTGCGGTCTGAGCCAGAAAATTCCTTATCAGGAACAAACCTGTGAGAGATAAGAAAGCATAGTTTTTTAGTTATGAAACAAATTAGAAATAGATAGGGGTGTGTATGTATCTGTGTGTGAATGTGTGTGTGTACACTTTCATACCTGTTAGTAGTTTTTATTCGTGCCTCCAAATCATCACCATACATGTCTTTATCCACATTTTTACTGGGCCTGTAGATGTTCTGGGCCATGTCTTTACCACTTCTCCAGGGCTGGTCATAGACATTGTAAATTTCATCTTCTCCTCCAGCAAAGCCACTGTCCATGCCCTAGCAGAACATAAAAGTATTCAGTATTATTTGGATACTAACTTGAGCAAGTTCCAAAATAATCTCCCACAGTCAACCTTCAAAGTCTAAATAGCAACATTCACTGGAAGAACAAATGTCCTGTAATGTGAAATTGGTTACCACAGTATGCTGTTTGGCCAGTTCTCAAAATGGTTGCAAACCACTGTGTCTAAGAAGAAAAGACATATAGAACTATTCACATGAAGGGGTGGATTGATCTTTGAAACCTTAGGATATGCTTAGGACTGTATCCAATTGTCTCATTTTGCTAGTACAAAGTTTCTACTACTTGCAGAAACCTCTTTTTCATCCTTGTGTGGGTACTAAACTCAATACTTTGTGCTTACACAAACCACCACACAACTCATTCCAACTTTAGTTGTCCCAGTGCTGTTTGCACAACAACTAGCAGAACTGTGCAGCTCCTTTTAACTTTTTCACTAGTCTAATGTGGATATAACCATTTGCTTCCATTTCTCTCTGGGGGTACAACTTTTCTAATGTAAGTGAAAGTTTGCTACTTTGAAACACTAATGCAATTAGTACAAAACCTGTCCTCAGTGGTATCATGTAGGATACTACAATGTCTTTCTTCCTTCCCCCATCCACTGACCCCTCTGTAAACCCCACCCCTCATATAATGGCTGCTCACTTTGCCTGACACTTCCCTAGGCCTGGCAGGAAACAGTACATCATGGTTGTCCCTTCATGTCCCTTAAAAAAGTACATCCCCACAGCCCAATTCCTAACTTTCATAATTCAAAGGTACAGCCCTTAATATACATGTGTGGAATGCTCATAGGGTCACACATTTACTCTGATTTTGCAAGGATGCAGCAACGGGAATCCTTGATAATTACAGACATGGGCTCAAACAAATGCTAAAACCTCCACACAATTTCTTAGGTTTAAACAGCAGTTTCTTAGGTTTAAAGAGCAAACTACCTGGAAACATGGAAGATAAATATAAGTTGCTCAGTATATTGATGGACATGTACTATTCTTCATCTATTTTCCCCTAAGTTTATACTTAACATCCAACATGATTATTGCATTTTTTCCCTTCAGGGTAGTTATGACTTACCTTACTCTGGTTGAAGAGCCTCTGGTCATACTGGACCTCGTTAGATGTCCTAGGGTTAGGAACACCCAATGCTATGACTTCACTAATATCTCTGTTCTCATTCCGTTGCAACTTTGATCTGCATTAACAATATTGTATCTTGGTTAGGTTATAGGAACAACAACACTCATATGTGAGAGAAATTTAACTGTTAGCCTGACATACTTTCTTAATAGGTGTTGTTCTGCCTTTGGTTTTCAGTCAGATGTCTTTTGAGGAAGTAGCATTCACTTGCTATATCCAAATAATTACTTAGCCCATGCTAGAGACTTGTACTAGTTCAGTGGATAATTTTGCTTCAAAAAGCTGGCCTTCCCTCCTTCTGTGACAAACTTCAAAAGTAGTTTGCTATATGATATTAACAGCACTCATTCAGAAAATATTCAAACCAAATGTCTTGTGTTTCATAATGCTCCGGATTTTGGCTTTGTTTTCAAGCAAGCAACCTTAGGATCCTTGCAGGCAGAGGTGTGTTAAGTGTCCTGGCAAGCAGTTACAAGTATGCTTTCTCCAGAGGTATATGAATTACAACATGGGAAATTGATCAGAATCCATTTCAATTGGTCTTATTTTCTGGATGATTTAGAAATCAATCTATCTTGCCTAGAAAGATACTTTTCAAAATATAACATTAGTTTGACCATTTGCTGTGGGAAAGTCAGCTAGTTTGGTCAGCATAAGGGGTAGAGATGGAGAGCTCCTAGGAAAAAGTCTACATGATGCAGTAGGGTGTGAGTGTGAGGACCTGTTACCTCCAAGTAGTAATCCTTTATTCAGGTATATGAATGTATTCTGCAGAATACATGGTAGACTCTGTTTCAGCCAGGGCAAGCTCATGTTCCCCAGGCAATAATCCTTCTGAAATTCACTTGTTCCCATCAGGTGTTATGTGGGCTAACTGGGGAATACTAGTAGATATTTAGTTCCTTTTCTGGGCTGGACAGAATCAGTGCTAAACAGCCCTGGCTTTCCTGCTTCCAGTGAACACTACTTCCTCAAAATACACAAGAAGAAGAATGCAAAACATTGATCAAATACATGCACAAGCACTAATCATTTCTGAAAGCATACTTCTACCACTTTCTTTATGGTGTGTCAAACCACATTCTGGAAGCTATTGTGCTATGGGAATGCACACTTCTGGCAGAGTAGGATAGTATGAAAGAGCAGTCATGGAGATGGTAATTTGTTTTATATGTGTGCATATTTTTCTACAACATTTCCTATATCAAGGGGTAAGTCCATTTGTCAAGGGGTAAGTTCCATTTGTGCATGAGCTGAATAAGTTTACCTTTTGTCAGGGGCTGCTCTGGAAAGATTTCGGTCATGCTGTCTCTCTTTTCGCCTGTCATGTCTAATTTCATCACGTTCTCTAGCTTCTCCATCCTCTAAAGATAGATTCAAGATTTAAAATTGTACACAGCCATCATGGTGTAGATTGTTTAGTAGTTAGTACCACAGGAGAAACTGGACTAAGAACTAAGAAAGTGAAGGATCCCTGACACTTCTGCACAAGTGAAATTAATGTTTTTCTGGACCATCTTTGGATGGAACACCTCGTTTTTCACTGTTAATGTCTTAAGCTTTCAATCCCATGCACACCTATCTGGGAACAAAGCAACAATGAACTAAGTGGAATCTGCTTCCTCATGAACATACAAGGGAATGAGCTGCACACTTTTCACATGATAACAACTGCGCACACAGAGAAAGAGACTGACAGAATGAAGCAATCCTCCAATACTGCAGAATCATGGTGGTCTTCCAGAGAAATTCATTAAATGTGTCAAAATCCAGTGCAAAAGCTCTACTGGAATATTTTATGAAAACAGCAAAAGGATGAAAAGATGGTACCTTTCTCCACATGGGTTTTGATCCCAGCTCTTCGCTCTCTTGCTTTCTGGGCCATTTCCCTGAGTTTTTCTTCATGTTTCTCTTTTTCCTTCTGTGCCATCTTCCTCTCCACCTGGGCTCGCATTTCTACAGCCTCACGAGCCTGCACAAAATTCAGAGTATAGCTAACGTAATAAGAGTAGCACAGGACCTGATCTTTCTGCTTTGATGAGATGTTGTTAGCCAATTGAGAAACTAGACAGCCTGTGGTGTAGACTCTGTTCTGTGCTATTATTGCAAAACTTCTGTTTCCAAGCAACTAACAAAAAATTGCAATAGTGCTCAGATTTATTTTGTGGAAAGAAATCACTCAGACCAATGTACAGTAGAGAACAATGATCTGACCTTTCTGTCAGCAATGTAAAGAGCCTCTGCCAATTTGGCGAAGTTTTCATTGATGTGTACTGTTTGTAGT